GCGCGGTGCCACCTGCCAAAGCCTGCCTTCTTCAGGCCGCGTACCAACCTGGAGAGATCTCCTGCGGGAAGGAGAGCTGCCCCAACACGATGTCTCGCTCGTTTTCGAATGGCAGGAACCCGCACACCATTTCGAAGAGCAGCACGCCCAGGGACCAGATGGTCGCCCCGTCGCCGTGGTAGCAGCGAAGGCCGATCCACTCGGGCGGGCAGTACGAGCGTGTTCCTAGGGGAGACGGGCGGCGCTGCTCAGGCGCAGGCTGCTGCCTTCCAGAGCCTGGCGCCAGCATCCTGCCAGAGGCAGGGGCTGCAGCCGTGGCCACAACTTCCCCCCAAGGCCTGCCTCCCTCCCCCCGACAACGGGCCAAAGCCAAGGAACCGTTCTGCAAGGCTGACAAGGCCAGCGGAGCAGCCCAAGGCCTTGCGGGCCTGCCAAGCCGAGGAGCCGGGGCCCGGCTTTTGCAGCCCCTTTCTGTCGGCAGCGCCGGCAGCCGGCTCCTGGGGCACAGCACCTGCCCCGTGCCGGCTGAATGCCGCACCCCCCGGCCCAGGAGGGAATGGGGCCGTGCAGTGCCCGGCACTGGGAGCAGGGCCCGCGCTCTGGGCTCACCGGCAAACTCTGTGTAGGCCCGCTCCTGGAGGAAGGTGCCGCAACCGAAATCGATGAGCTTCAGCTCGCCAGTCTCCGGGTTGACGAGGAGGTTCTCTGGCTTGATGTCCCGGTGCAGGACGCCGCAGGCGGTGCAGTGCCATACGGCCTCCAGCACCTGCCAGAAAAGCCAGCGAGCCGCCTCCTCGCTCAGGAACTCTTGCTCCACCAGGACGCGCAAGAGATCCCGAGACTTCTCCGGACGCTCCAGAACCAGAACGAAGCTGTCGGGCAGCTCGAACCAGTCCAGGAGCCGGATGATTCTGTGGCAGCCGAAGCCCACCTTCTTCATGAGCACCACCTCCAGCGGAACACAGGTGCCGTCGGGCTGTGAGGACGAGACAATGCCTCCATCACAGGGCCCGATGCTGCCCCGCGGCTGCAATTCCCCTGCCCGGGATGCCCCAGTGCCGCCTTGGGCATCCTCCCCGCTGCTTGGGACTCCTCCCGCCCAGGGGGGTGACTGGAAGGTGCCCCTTGCCTGGACCCACCGCCGCTGTTTGGCATCCCCGGGCCCGCGATGCTCGGCCTCGCTCGCTGAGCCCACGCCCGCTGCCCCCGGCCATGTCCCGCCCTCGGCCCCGGCCTTCTCCCTGCTTGCCACGGCCCGCTCGGTCCCGCTGGCCCCGCTCACTCACCAGCTCATACCACTGCAGGACCGTGTCCCGGGCCACGCGCTTGATGGCCACCTGCAAGCCGTGGAGAGAGGGGGGCTGAGCTCAAGCCTTGCCCCGCGCCGCCCCCGGCCCTCCTGCCGCGCCCGGCCGCCCCGGCCACTTACCGGGCTCCCGTCGGAGAGTCGGGTTCCCGAGAAAACGGTGCCGAAGCCACCGCTCCCCAGCTGCGGGCCCAGCTGGTACAGCTCCCACAGCTCTTTCTTGTGCCCTGCGGCCAAGACCGAGCCGTCAGCCTCGCGCCCAGGAACCAACCCCCCCAGTGCCCGCCAGCGCAGCGGCCCCAGCCAGCACCGGCCACCTTGCTCTCACCTGCTTCCTCCTGCGCGCCGGGCAGCGGCCACAGCCTTTCCGCCGTCGGGCTGGCGAGCGGCACAGCTGGGCCAGGACAGGGCGCACAGGCGGCTGCAGGAGCCCGAGTGGAGCGGGGCAGGGCGGCACCGTCGCTGTCCCCGGCGTCCTGGGCTGGACTCTGCCCGTGTGGACGGCCGGGGCTACAGCCCGAGGCTTCACACAGGGGGGTCCCAGGAGCAGCTGCAAACAGAGAGGGCTTGTTTGAAGCCGTGGCATCAGGGGCTTCTGAAAACAGGCAGACACTAGGCTGCTCTGAGAAGCCCTGGCCTGGCCTGGGAATGGCCCTCAAGAGCCCCATGGGAGCCTCAGACAGCTCCTTAGATCTCACCTGCTTGTTCGGAAGCCTTGCTGGTCGTTGGTGGCTGTATGGGAGCAGCTTCCTGGAGATGGAGGAAACTCCCTGGTCCCTCGGGAATTGCCTCCTCAACCAGGCACGGGCTGTTGCTATCTGGCACATCCAGCACCGTGACCTGGGAGCTGTGGTCCAGCAGCTGCTGGCTCCAGGACACTTGCTGCTCCTCCAGCTGCTCCTGGTATAGCTCCCCTGGATCGGGCTGGGCTCCCACTTGGACCTGTGGGCTTTCCCTGGCCATGTCAGTGGTCAGGGATGCGCCCATGTTGTCGAGGGCCAAGGGTCCATGGGAGCTGGGAGACCTGTCCCTGGGCTCTGCACCTTCTGCAGGCTGACAGGTCTGGCTGAGCCTCTCTAAGAGATGGAGGCTGTCAGAGGTAGCAGAGGCTCCTGGCACGATGGACATCCTCTGACAGCCTGAACCTCTTGCACGGATGGCGGGTCTTCTCTGGTGTGCCATCCTTGCAAGGGTTGAGGCTCTCCCACTGATGGCCAATCTTGGTGGGAGCAGCCTCTTGATGGGATGGCGGCTTCTGGAGAAGCTGGGCGAGCCACAGCAGGGCAGGTGGCTTCGCTTCATCAGCTTCTCCAGCTGTGTCCACAGTGCCTGCCACATCCCAAAGTAGAGCAGCACAGATGTCCCATTCTGTGCCCAGATCTGGATCATAACTTCCTGCAGCTCTAGGGCCACTGCCATGCAGGGACCGCAGCTGCAGAAGCTCTCCAGAGGGCTTGCGGGAGCACCTGGCCGCTGGCGAGAGGTCGCCCGAGGCCTGGCAAACCTGGGAGCCGCAGGGGCTGCCCGGTTCCTCCATGGGCCTCTGGGCCTAAACCTGCGTCGCTTCTTTGCCTGCTGCCTCCATGGCTGCCAGAGGCCAATGGCCCACCAGACAGCCACAACGGCCAGCAGCAGGACAAGTGCAGCCATCAGGACGCCGCCGTCACCCATCGCTACGGCACGTCCACTCGCAACTGCACTGGCAGCTGGGGGCGCCGGCCCGGTTTATATAGGGTTGGCGCGGTGATGTCACAGTGCTGTGGCCAGGACAGCTGTGTGACATCATGGCCTTGCATCACCCCAGTGGTCACCAGTTACACAGGGGCGAGGAAGGGGCTCCCTGTGGGCACTCGAGCACCCTCTGGAGCAGAGAGGAAGGAAGATTCTTGCCAAAATGGGACACAGGGATGAGGAAGGGAACGGTGATAGTGTCGCCTCCTTGCTGACAGAGCATGGGACTTGGATTGTCCAATAGGGCATTGCAAAGTCCTTGAACAGGACAAGCCCTGCTGAGCAACATGGAAACCATCGGTGTTCTATCCACTACATTCCCATGCTGAATCGGAAGTTGAATTCAAATCCAGTTCTGTGCCTATTACTGGGAATAAAATGGATGCTATCCCATTGAAAACCCGTACCTTTAATACTTTAGGGTTCTTTGGCTTCAGGGAATTGAGGCGCAAATAAAAGGAAATGGTATGACAGAGTTTGTGTCCGCCTAAAATTAACACTTTAATGAGAAGTATAGGGACAAACTCCAAAGACCAGGACTACGGGAAGACACAAAAATTTATAGGGTAGGTCTGAGGGCAGAGTCAGAGGGCATGGGTCCTACCACTGGAGTTAGAAATATGCAAAATTCTGTGACAAATAACAACCAATCAGGGGAGAGAACCAGGAACATTCTAGAAACATAACCTTATAAGGGGTGAGTTGATTAAAATATTAACTGCCATAAGCCCTTTCTCTTTGCCATAACTTAAACAAATGCTTCCAAAGGCTTGAACTTAATGCCTTTTTTTTCTGGGTGAAATTCAGCTGGCTTGGATCCCCAGCAAGACACATTCCCATATCACATTAGTCAGTTCTTCTTCACTCCCTGTCCCTGTTCATTTCACACTGGGATTTCTGCTCCAGAAGGATTCTCTGAGGGACACAAAACACCTCTTCAAATCCTGAAATAGAACCTGCATTGCCTTCCTATCACTCATGAGCCAGGTGAATTAATATTGTGAAAGGGGATAAGAAAGCTACCACCATTTTAGGTCTGAGAAGGCCTATGCTGAAGTAAACCCACAGGTGTGGGCAGTCCCAAGGAAATGTGGAAAATGAGATACGGAACCTTCCAAATCCCTTTGAAGCCACCAGGACAAGTGGTGTCTAGAAAGCAATACATTATTTCAAGGGAGGGAAGGAAGGGATTGCAGCCAGTTAGAGAGTCACTATTAAAGGCAGGTCTTTTGGAGCCACGGATGTCTCCCTATAGCACTGCTCTCCTGCCAGGTAAGAACCTGACAGAATTTTGAAGTGTTAAAAAGCAGATGAACTGAGGAACCTGCCCTAGCCCTTCCAAACAGGGAAAAATGAATTTGAATTTTATGTGGATGTTGAACAGAAGCAGGCCAAAGGAGTTCTAGTGCAAGAACACTACAGGGCAGTTCTTGAAGACCGATGGCCCCTTTTTCTAAAATGTTAGACCACTTGGCGAGAGGTGGCCCCATTGTTTGCAAACTTGTGCAGCCACAGCTTTAATGGTGAGGAGAGTAGGAGGCTCTCTAATCCTTAAAGCCTCACAGCAAGTTAAGGCTGAGGCAACCAGAAGTCTTTTATGGAATGGGAGAATCCAGATTTAAGAAGTGAGAAAGAGTTTAACCCCACTATCTTTTAACTGGTCCCAAGGGTGGAGACCTGAAGTGAGAAAGAGTTTAACCCCACTATCTTTTAACTGGTCCCAAGGGTGGAGACCTGAAGGAAACTCATGACTGGATTCAGGTAATAGATCTCCAGATGCCAAGGAGATATTAAATTATCCTCCTTGGAATTAAAATTTGGAATTTTTCTTTCTCTGGAGCAGTAAATTAGGATGTTGATGGAGGTTTCTGGTTCTGTTCCCAACAGGGCAGCCATTTGGCACAGCCCATGAACACGGCATCGCAGTCCATGTGGCTGTAGGACAGATCCTCGTGTTCCGCTTCTTTCCTCTCCCACTCCCCACTGCCAGCAGCTCCCCCCGGGCAATGAGGGGGTTCCCGGCTGAGCAAGGGCAGCGTAAATGTGCAGCAGCTCAAGGATCCGCTCCCTGCCCACTTCCTGGGATAGGGCTGCCCTGGGCCTCGGCCCCCTTCTCTGCTCACTCTGACCCTCCTGCCCCAGCCTCGCTCGGTTCCATTCAGGTTCCTCCTGTGAGGGACACTCTCCACACAGATCATGGCTCTGATTCCTTGGATCCTCAGCAGTGTTTTTCCTGGATTTTAGCCAGGGTTTCCCCTGGGTTTGGGGCTGGGCTATGCAGGCTGGAGTTCAGTAAGAATTAACTCATAAAGTAAGTTCTTCCCCATATTCCTTTCAGTAAGCACGTGGGTTTTCCTTGACAGGCTCCACTGATTGTTCTTTATTTTCACCACCCTATAAATGTGAACACAAGGTATTCACAGCTGAATTGTGAACTATTTTATTATATACAAATACAAGTGAAGTTCTTGAATTCAATATTTGTTGTTGTTGTTGTTGTTTTTGTTTTTTCCTGTAATTTTAGTTTCATTAACTAAGAAAATACCATGTTGGGAAAACCAGCTAGTTATCCTAAACACTTTGTGCAGTAACACTGCAATCTCTGCTTGCTCTGGGTATTGAAGGTACATAGTTTCAGTAAGTGTAAGAGTCACTTTAAGAGTGATGGAATAGTTCATTTAAAGGTTTAAAACTTTATAAATGCTATTTTTCAGTAGCCTGATTTGTGTAAATCTTCTCTTCAAATATGACAGTGATTCACCAAGAATGAATAAGTATATAAAGTGAGTGCAAACTCAGAGGCTCTGGAAGGTGTCCTTGCTGTTGATTTTGTAACACCTCGAACTACAGAAGGAGTGTCAAAGACAAGTAAATGTCAAGCTTCCTTTCAGCAAGCCTTGGCAGACTAATAACAATGAATAAATAGGACAAGCAGAGTCGAGCAAGCAGCACTTAAAAAAGCAGTAAAAGCTCGTACTCCCAGTGTTTCAGAAGGTGGTAGATTCCTTCCCAGCATGAATGCAAGCATTCATCTTGAAAATTTCATCATTGAAAGTTCATCATTGGAATCCTTGCAAACTTTCTGGCCTTGAGTATTTCCACAAGAGTCATGATTAAGGTAATAACAGTGCCTCAGTAAAGAAGAGATGAAACAGTAGTCCATGAATGCGGTGGGAGGGAAGAACAGAGAGTAAAAGTAAAATGAGGAAGGCTGAAAGGAGGTGAAAAGCAGTGCAAGGACCTTGCATTCCCTTAGGTCTGTGGAGGGAGCTGGACTTCACTTCTTTCCTGAGTAGTTTTCCAGTGCCAATGACCTTAAGCTGAATGACTTTAATCCACAGGAATTCAGTTCTCTAAACAGGATTCTACTGAAATCCAAGGATTTCCCCCATGATTGCAGTTAAGGGCTCATGGATCTCTATTCCTCTACAACTGTTTTCCTAGTGCTTATTTTTCCATTCTATAAGGAAAATCACAGTTTTTGAAAGCACTGTATCTCATAAACTGATAGTCAGCTTCTGGAGTCCTCTGAGCTGTGTGAATTTCCAAGATATCAAATCTAAACAAATCTTTTCAAGGTGTATGTACTTTTTTTGAAAGCCTGTACACTAAATTTTCAGGTGGGATCATTAGAAAGTGTGCATAAAAGATCAGAAGATAGAAATACTTCAGGAACCTAATTGCCAGCCTCTGCCTTGACACCAGATATTGTAGCAGGGAACTTGATAAAAGTGGTTCCATATCAAGTACAACAGCATAGGAGTATTGTAAGACAAAAGCAGCAAGCTCCCACTGCTGCCTGAGAGTTCTGTGGATGATATTTTTGAGGCAACTAGGAATAAAAGACCATCCTCCAGCTATTCCCATTGATCACTCAAACTTTTGATTATCCTTTTCTTTCTTTGCTGTCAAATGTAGATAGTTCTGGCACCCAAAGCATGGCTGAGGAGAGAAAGAATCCTTCATGGATTCAGAAGTTCCTGATAAAAGGTGGTTTGCAGCAGGTATGACAGAATCTTTCCAAAATAATCACGATATCCACAGTGCCATTAAACACTCCCAGTACTGTGGACACCTGTAATTTCTGGATGTCGCTTCTCAGCAGAACTTACATGTGAGAGAACTTGGTCTGAAAAGAGCAGAAGCTGTTATAATAATTAAAGAAATGATATCTTTCCTGGATTTTGTTGGAATAGCAGTGACTGTAATCTCACTGTATCCCAATTTCATAGGGCAAATGCTGTCGTAACATTTACAGAAAATTTGAGATAATGCCTAAAATGAAGTGATAAAAGGGCTGGGACAAGGAAACCAGATAGCACAAGGTGACAGCTGTGAAGAAATATATGCCATCTAACCACACACACCAATTCCTGCAAAAAAAAGCCTTTGTAACTTGATGTCTGGACATCCAGTTCAGCTCTTCTTTCTTTTACCTCCTCTACAGACACTGCTAAAATGCAAATTTTCCTGGTGAGCTGTGCTGTGGGTGCAGTGCATGACCTGAAACACATAGGAGTTATTTAACCTGTAAGCTGCTCTTTAATTCCTGCTGGCAGCCCCCACAGCACCTAACCTAGAGCTATAGGCAGGCAAAGACTGGCAGAGAGACAATGGTGCCTCAGCTCTGAACCTGCACTGGTGGCCATCTAAAGCACATGAAAAATACCCCTTTTGTGTCTTCTGCAAAGCCACCTCTGCTGCTGGGAACATGGGACATGTTATACTTCTGTTTTCCAGATGAGCTGCCTGGAGATGGTTTGAGCATCAGCATTCCCTTCCCAAACTCAAATCTTTTTTGCTCACCTGATTGATGTTACCCAGTTTTCTTCTTCAGTGTTCTCATATTGTTTTGATCACTTTATGTTACTTCACACAGATTTCTACTCTAATTACACTTGCTTCTCCTGTAAATTATTTAAGATTACTTCTGATGACAAAATGCCTTATTATATGTTCAACTTTAGGTACAGATATCAGGGAGGGTTAATCTCTTCAGAACAGGATAGTGTGGCTTTTAGTCACAGAAATAACAAGATTTCTGCATCGTACATACGATTCTGGCTGAAATTGGCTAATTAGTTTACGAGAATTTGGGAGGAAAAAGACTGACAGAGGAACAGAGAAGCAAGTGAAGTGATTGCATAGGCCTCCTTTATTTTGTAAACCAGGCTCAAGGGAAATTCTCTTCCCACTTGCAAGGCTGCAAACAGCAGTGACACAGAGTAGTGTGCTGTGCTAAATAAGTGACACCACTTGCTGCCAGTGCAATATAAAATTTGTGTGATGATGGATGAGGTAACTGCCTTTCAGACCTTTGCCAGCTAATCTGACATTACAATGTTCCATAATATTTTTTTTTTTAATCTTCTCAGCGTTTTTTCAGTTCTTTGAAAGGATATTGCCTCCTTTTGTCTCTGTGCCTTATTGCATAAAGAAGCTCAAGGTTCATAACCCTGAAGGTTCATAAGCCTTTCTGTGTCCCCTG